TTAGGGCTTAGGATTTAGGGCTCAGGGTTTTGGGCTTAGGGCTTAGGATTTAGGGTTAAGGATTTAGGGTTCAGGTCAGGGCCTCTTGAGGACCATGATCTGGGAAAATGCCAAAAGGGGGCCTAGATAGTTATCAATGTTATCAATATTCGGTGTATCCCTAAACCCTACACCCTAAATCCCCTCTCATTGCCTTTAATTGTCTAGGCACTAAACCCTAAAACCCTTAGCCCTCAAACTCTAACCCCTAAAGCTCTGAACCCTGCTTGGAGTTGCAGATTTCTGGGTCAGGCCCTAGGCTCGCACCCTGTTCAGCCTGTTTGCCTGGCCTATGGGGATTTGCCTAAGTTCATGGTAATACAGGGCCTTATATGGGGGTTCCGATTGAAAATGGGCCCTGAAATAGAGTTCTCCCATTTTAGGGAATAGTAGTTTGGGCCAGGTCCCCTATCCCTCCCCAAAAGCATCCGCACCTTGGACACCCCAGCACGAAAATATGATCTCATTTGGATATTACCCCTACTCAGTAACAGTTGGATACTAATTATGATAGGGTTATATATAGCCCTTAATAGGACCCCTAATATAGACTGTTTCTCGGCGGGGGCAGTACCCAAGATCTCATTCCTGTACGCAGTCACCTGCAAGTCTAGCCCTGAGGCCGAGCCTGTTCGGGGAGGTCTTCGTGCTGATGGGGCCTTTGGCCTGGCATTTTGAAATTTGAGCCATAGTCTAAACTCCTTAAAGAAGGCTACATAGGGGATCGTATGGGGGAGTATTATAGGGCTAGACTGTGGCTCATTTCGGGTTGAGGGTTCGAGCTCAGGGCTCGGGGCCAGGCGTTACTAACCAAAAGCCGCAGAGTCAACCAGTAGCAAGAGTGGTTAGTGTTACCCTTACGCCTATGATTAATATAGGGGCCTAACTAGTTACCAATCTTATGGTTCCGCATTCCTTATATAATTATGGTCTATGGTACCTCAAATGGACCTCAAAATGATAATGGTAATTGTTTAGGCGGCTGTAGTAGTTGTGCATCGCAGGAGGAGCAGTATCAGGAGGACTACACATTGCCTCCTGGCGGTGGTAGTATCCACTAGGGGAGGAGGAGGGGACCAGGTGGAGTCATTGTTCCGAAGATTAAGCTATGAGCCTGAAACGCTTATATGACCCAAAATCCAAAACAGGAGCGCTAAACCTAAGATCTTGACTGCACAGCTAAATCTGAACGCAGGACCTAAGCTGTTCCGTGTAGGTGGCTACTGCACAAAAAAATCCCCATTGAGCCCTGAAGAAGGAGCCCTCTAATCCCGATTTCGCCCCGAGTACTCCGATTTTGAGAAACGCCCATGGCCCGATGTGGGGCTGTTTTCAGGCTGAAGGCCAATCAGTTCGTCTTCACCGAGCAGGATAAGAACCTTGCCCGAGCCTCAAGAGATCCCTGTCGTCACTCGAGATGAGCCCTAAACCCTTCACCCTAAACTCTAAAATCAAAACGCTAGACCCTAAACTCTCAACCCTAGCCCCTTTATCCACGACCCTAAGCCCGACACCCAAACCAGGCCCATCTTCTGAGTCGCAGAGTAAGGATATTTTTATTTATTGGTGGTGGGGGGGTGAAGCTTGTGATTCCTGCCAGTGCAGTCACATGTCCAACACGCCAATGCATGATGTCCATATGCTCAAGGTTCTAGTGTGGACTCAGTAGCACTCCAGTGCCTCAGCTGTAAAAGAGACACCTGACTGCCTTGCTGT